GAGGGAAAGGGAGGAAAAGAGAGAAAGGGGAGAGAGAAAGAGGGAGGGAGAGAGAGAGGAACTGAGAGACCGTTGACATGTATATATATATATATATATATATATATATATATATATATATATTCATCGCATGTATATCACAGCAGTATATTGTACGATGTCAGCTCCACACTGATGAAAATTTAATCCACTCCCCAGGGAATTTTTCAAAGAGTTAACTCTTTAATCCCATCAGTTTGAAGTTGAGATACAACATTAATCCATGCACACTTGAAGCCAGTCTGCAAAAATTCATCCAATGGTCTGGACACCTACACAACATAAGCGTACGAGCCTGATGGTCATTTGTGCCAAACTCAGGTCATGTTGTCTTCCGTTGGACTTTCCAATGATGTGCCAAATTCTGAGCTCCCGGATGTATGAGAGTGAGACCAGCCAATTCGCCTAGGGGCTCAGACGGGGGGTGGATGATGGCCAGAATTAAGTGCATTTATAAATACGAAATGTGCGTGTTGACATGATTTGTGCCTTCGCCAGCTATCTTGCAACTTGGTTTCCGACTAATAGATTTGAATGTTGTCTCCGTATGTGGAACAAAGTCGAAAAATGTCGGCGTGACGCGGGGCAACTGAAATCCGCATGGCTGGATTACGTGTATGTTTGGAGAAAATCGTGGAGCAAGCCGACTGAGATGCAGGTGGGTTGAATTTAAGCTGGCGTTAGTGGTTATTTTAGGATCACTTGAGGGTAATTCTGATTGAGGCGATCACAAGTTTAAAGTGAGCGTTTCGCATTTGTGTGAAGTGTTGTGCTGGAATGGCCATTTTGAAGATCATTCGGTGCAGTTCAAAGCGCTGTCCTTAAGACCTCAAACCCTCTAGTTTCTGAGCTACATAGCGGAGAGGATGTGCAGGCTATCTAGAGGCTGTCCAGACATGCATGACGCTAAAGTAAGGTGACTCGCATCCTGTCATCCAGCACGCCGGGCTGTGTTCAAGACCAAAGATAACATTATCGAAGAACCGTTAGGATCCAGTGTCCGTGAGCACGACTTTCAAATGGTGTGGATGTCAATTGCATCTCCATCATTGCTGAGCAATCTGTTTTAAGTTTCAGTTATGAATCAACTTTTGTGCTACATGATATATGAATCTATTTTTCCTGGTTATTACAGAAATAAGACACGAAATCGAATAACTTAAAAGTGAGGCTGCAAATTTGAAGATATTGAGGCAAGCATTGATATGATGGCATAAGATCACTGCAATACATCATTGTTTGAATGTACTATGAAACTTTTATAAGGCGTTGACGTACTGCTAAACTAGCCATCGTTGCACTCATTTAAAGTACATCAAACCGGCACAGAGATGACATTACCATGCTGAAAGTGTTTGCTGAGCCAAATATCTTTATTTGTTCGTGTTTCAGTCTTCATCATGGTGTTCTTGGGCATTCATCCGTCAGTTCAAAAACATATTATATGCACAAACTCGGTTACGGTGCTTTTTTAACACGAATGTTTCACAATTCAGGATATTGCAGCGCGCATCAGGTATGATGAAACAAGGTCACTTATAACTATCCGTATAATTTTAAGAAGAAAAGACCGCTCGAGACAACACAATCTCTCTGTTTAGTAAATACGCTACACGATACGTCATTGGTTGATTATATCATCGTACTTCGCACAACATTGATTGAGAGCCAATTGGCGGCCGTTATATCCGCAAATCGTGCTTACGAACGCCAGACATGAACGACTCGATAATTATGTTTGTTTTGGCCTGATCACCGCATGGCCAATGAAATGGCAGGCTTTGAATGGCATATGGCGTCATGAATGTTTGGGTGACCTTGAAATAGTATGCACATCTTCACGAGCGTGTGGCTCAGAAACTAGAGGCGTTTAGGTCTTAGAAGAGCAAGGCTGTGGACTGCATCGAATGACCTTCAACATGGCTGTTTCAGTTCAAAATTGCGTACAACTTTGGAACACTTCCTGTAAAATGAACATTACCCATCTCTGGAACACTGTATTCGTGTTCCACATTTTGTTTTGTTTTTAACGCAAATAGCCATCTTGACGATCATCCGATGCAGTTCACAGCCCTGTCCCTTCTAAGACCTAAACGCGTCTAGTTTCTCAGCTACACGCCCGCGAGTTTGTGCAGACCGTTTCAAGGTCACCCAGGCATCCGTGACTCCATAATAACGCTTTTCAAATCCCGCTATTCCATGGGCCATGCGGCGATCAGGGCCAATGCAAATATTATTGTCGAGTCGTCCATTTCTGGCGCTCGTGAGCACGACGTCCAGATGTAACGGCCGTCAATGTGCTCTCCATCAATGCATTGGGTAGAGCAGTCTTTTTCACTTAACAGCTTACCAAAAGTTTTAAGTGAGCTTATTAGATCACCTCTGGTGCTTGATTCAATGTCTTCAAAGGTGGAACCTTTCATTTAACAGACAAGGTACAATTAAGTCTGTGGGAAGTGTTGTGGTGGCCGTAATGTACGATATCTTCGCGGTATGATTGGTACTCCACAAATATGATGTGTTTCAGGGATATCACGAGAAGCCTTCGCGAGGATGTAGGAACTTGGCGTGGAACAACGTCGTGCTGGAGGACAGAGGACGCGTCTCGGCCGTGTCTTTGCTTGGACGACCCGCAGTACAGTCTAGCTGTAGAAAGGCACTGACGTGTACGCTGTACGGGACGAAGAGAAGGCGCTTCCTCCTGCTCCCATTGCTCCAAAGCTTCGCAAGTTGTTCAGAGCATTCGCGAGGGACATTATTCACATAGATAAGACAGTAGTAACAGCCTTATTCCTCGGTTCTGTCTTATCTAAAGCCTCTTCGCCGTCAAGTGCTCAGCAAAGACGCAGTCGGTGGCGGTATTCAATGAACGGACCGTATGTGGGATCCGGCAGTCTCCAAGAGTTCTGAAGAGAGCCTGGGAGCTGTTGAACAGGATCGTGTAGCGGACGAAACAGCTGATTTACCCGGTGGGTTGGCCCGCACTAAGAATGCGGGTGAGGAATCTGGATTGACGCTGTCGCCGGGCTCCGGCACGACAGTTTATATTTTTCTTTGGTTTCTGAACTGGTCAAACCAGGTTAATTCCAATGCCTTCGGCTAGCCAAAACCGGTTAGTTGGTTTGTGTCTAAGGTCTCCTGTGGTCTGTACGTGGCCGATGATGTCGATCAGTCTGTTTAATTGCCAGCTGATTTTACAGTTCGGATGTTCATGTGACCAGGTCGTTCGTCCATTTTTATCTAGTTTTCCTATTTTTTTGTCGAGTCAGGCTAGCGAGTTTTGCCACGTTTTCATCAGTGGTGAAGACTGTCTTACTTTGTGGTCGGTCCTGTGGTGTGGTCGGTTTGCAGATACCGGGCAATTTGGTGAGGCCGGCGCGGCCATATGCCGCCTGGTCTGGTGTGAAGGAATAATTTGAAGTGTCGAACCTGACGTGACTTGTAGTTTGACTCTCTGGCCCATGTGTTCTCGCATGCCTTTTGGGGATGCGTAGTGAAAAAACACCACCCATTTTACGGAGTGTTCTAATTTAAAGGTTTCATCGACAGGTCAAATGGATGCCCACCAAAGTGCTAGAAGACTCTTGTAGAGGAATATGACACCACTCCCTTTGACGACGCCGTGCAGGGATCTGACTTGGCCGGCTCTGTACTGGGGTTTTGGGGGCGTAATTTTTCGGCGTCAAAAAACTCCTCAATTACTGCTTGAAAGGTGTTTACACTACCTCCCAAAACGACGCGATTTGACTGACCCTGCACACGATATTTTTTAGGTGTTTTTTTCAGTGCAGCCATGATATACAGTAAACCAATCAGCTGATCATGCTGAATCAAGAGGCAAAAAAACGCTCTGCGTCAGCGTGCACATTCCGTTGGCTAGCAGATCATTGATGACGTCACAGGTCGGGTCAGATGTCACCATCTGTCAAATCTTCTAAATCGTAGGTCCGTGCAAAGCCCTCGCAGTACTGTGACTGGAGGGAGCTGCACTCGGTCAGTTACGTCAGCTAAGCATAGTTTGCTATGTTGCTACGTATACCCCGTATCCACCACCAAGGTTTTACCTTCCAGTTTAACGGATATTTTTGCCTGCGCCACTCTGCCAGACAGGACTGCGGAGGGTTCACGCGCCGCACAATTCCACAGCACAGCCGCCCCGGGCCAGGGCCACTGGTAACACCGCAGGTCAGGTCAACTGTCACGATGTTTCGAAGCATTCAAAATTACATCGGTTTAAACTTGTCGCAATACTGCGACCGTAAGAAGCTGAAATCGGTTAGTTAGAATAACGGCTACAACATAGACGCTTGGTACAACTATATGTTTTACAGTCGCGCATTTGAAGACGGATGCAGGAATAAGACCACAAATGAACAACTTACAAGCTGTCAGCCTATTTTTATGGCGTCATTTTCGCCGAGTCTTCGTTGGCCCGAGCTCCAAGTTTTGGTACATACAAGGTGCCCTAAGCGTTTGTTGAAAGGCCAAGAGACAAAACGGAAGTGAAGACTAATGTGCTAACGAAAGCCCTTCCCCTGGCAACTAGCGGGCGAAGCGAAATGTAAAGACATGACTAACTCAACAGCCCGGGTCGTCTGTTGTTTTCTCATCTCCCTGGACAAGAGTTGACGTCGACGGAAACATCAACATCTCGCTTCAGATATTGGAGCGTCATAGAGCATCGTAAATCATGAGTAAGCGGTGATTATGTATGCCTCGATACATTGATCTATGATCAGGTCAGGTCCAATAGCCAGCCACAGACCTCAGATATATGCTGCTTTCATGCAAAACTGCTCTTCTTACGCACCATATGCACTTTTACAATTTACGAATAAAGAAAGCTGACCAAACAGAAGACATGGCGACATCCATGGCACACCTTCCTCCTCAACAGGCGTGTTACGGTGGCAAGGGGAAACATCGGAGGACCACTGGCCAGACAGGCATATTGAGCTCACCTTTGTTGCACATTGCGATGCCGTAGTCCATTAAGAAGCTGATGCAGGCCATCAGTACTCCCAAGATGGCCAGAAACACCCAGTCCTCTCCAATTCTTGCGAACGTGTGCTTCCAAAAGTAGCCCAGCACTTTAAGAACTCGCCGATTCCACTTCCCACGGTAGGGGAGCAGCTCTTGTCGCCGCAGCCTCTCCTCCTTTTTGCGCTTTTTCTCAAGCTCTTTGACGCGATGTGATTCACTTCTGGCGAAGTCCCCCAGGTCCCTGGAGTACTGGCCATACATCTGTCGAAGCAAACCGCTGTTAGTTCCGGTTCAAGCCGAAGCAGAAAGGGATAGCTTGAACCAGTGTCCTTATTGCGTTTACTGATATAGCATCCCGTGGAAAGGCACGTAAATGCAATAATATATATATATATATATATATATATATATATATATATATATATATGTATATATATATATAATATGAATAATAGTTATATATATTTATACTTAAAATAATAAATGTGATCAACGACTGCAAGAGCGTGATCAAGATCTTGGCAGCTTTGAGGGCTCCCCGTCAGGACATTGCGTGGTATGACACGATTACCCCTCGCCACCCACGATCCTGTCTGGCTCAACAGGCTGGAGATAACATGATCTGCTCTGCAGAGCCGCGGAACCTTAACTACGTGGGTGGTGTTTGTATGGTCCGCGCAAGGTCTGTTTGGTTTGTTCCCTGATGTGCAAATAAACGTTGCAATACATTTGGAACAGCAAACAAGAGGGCACCCTTTTCCACAACGTTATGCTCATGTCAGGTTTACAAAGACGTGAAATTGTCAAAGCTCGTTATGCTACCAAGACCGGCTAACGCTAACTTTTCCAGCCACGTTCCACATGTGATCTGCTTAGGACCTACTCTTTGGTGTCATCTCGAACATAAACTGGCATATGCCTGCTGCCAAAATACGAAAACACGGCAAATTGCGATATAAATATGTTTCGCATGTGCAACTTAGTAATTTTATGATGTGCCAACGTTGGCTCGGCGCTGAATCCAGTGTCTGGCTGCTTACACGACTGCTGCTCAGCTATTGACGGCCGTGCATTTCAAGCCAAATGCACACATATTAGGGGCTTGACCAAGGAAGTTGACTGTGCCTGTGGCCTCACCATGATCGCAGGGACCGAATGAAAAAGGATGGAGGAGATTGAAAACCGCTTTTTAAATAACGCATGAACTTGATATTTTTACATTTTTTCTGAGCACGTAATTCACATTTTATTCAAAAACATGGTGCATGCTCAAAACTTGGCTCAGAACGCAAGTTTTGAATGACGACTTGACTAGTCTAAGACAATGAAATATACCTGAAGACATTGGGGGGCCGTGCATCCGGTCGCGTGGATTTTGAACGACACTGACAGCATGGAATGGAAGCTTAGTGGTAATAATCTTACGCCGTTGCAGGTAACATCTGAACATGGTCACTGCACGCTTTTGGAAAACCCATAACCATTTGAATGATAAACAACATCACGTGCTGTCAAAACAATTAAAGCGCTCAAGTAAACAATGTATTCAGTGCATGAAAATGTCGTTAAAATTAGGCAAGTTGTCGAATGCATTTGCGAGCAACATTATTCATATAGACATGACAGTAGTAATAGCCTCATTCCTCGGAGAAATACCAGGAGAATGAAGATATAGATATGTTGATATTTCGGCAACATGCCTTTATCGTTAAATATGATTTATAACATGACATGATTTGGCATTTGAGTTGATCGGATGATGGCATGGCATGATATGAGCAGTTCAACAACCTTTAACCTACGCAATTACACCCAGTTTTTGCATACGTGACACAATGTTTGGACACCAAACAGCATGACGTGAAGTCTAACTCCCTCAATGCTAAGGCGCTTGTTGCCTGTCAGTCGGTTCTCTGACCACTGACGGCAAACGACAGCACTATTCTAAGCAGCTCCAAATCCGGGCTCCCGCCTTTACCCATCGGCCGGCCGCTGAGAGTCCATCAGCGCAGCCTGACGTCTCGGCATTTACAGAAGCGGGCGGGCTCGGAGCGGATACTCCCGAATTAAACGCGACTTATGTCGATGTTTTCGGCGAGTCGGCCAGACCTTCCAGCCGTCCATCAGTTGATATAGAGTGGTCTCCGGAGCCCGTGCCGGACTCCAGCTGCCGGGTCGCGCTGTGCCGCTGCACCCCGCACCCCGCTGATGGGCCTTGGTGCCTCACCCTGCCGCTGCACCCCGCACGCTGCTGATGGGCCTCGGCTTCGCACTCCGCCGCTGCACCCCACACCCTGCTGATGGGTCTTAGTTCCGCATCCTGCCGCTGCATCACGCACCCTGCTGATGAGGCCTTGGTCCGGCACCCTGCCGCTGCACCCCGCACCGTGCTGATATGCCCTGATCCCGCACCCAGCCGCTGCACCCCGCACCCTGCTGATGGGCCTTGGTTCCTCACCCTGCATCAGCAGCGTTGGGCCTCGGCATGGTGCTGATGGGCCTCGGCTTCGCACCCTGCCGCTGCAACCCCCGCACCCTGCTGATAGGCCTTGGTTCCACACCATGCCGCTGCATCCCGCACCCTGCTGATGGGCCTCGGTTCCACACCCTGCTGATGGGCCTCAGCTCCATACCCTGCCACTGCACCCCGCATTCTGCTGATGAGCCTCAGCTGTGCACTCTGCAGCTGGGTCTGGCACGCTGCAGCTGTGTCTACGCCAAAGAGATAACGTGCCGGTGTGCGAATATGGCACAACTGACCCACCTTTGGCTCACGAGCTTTCCATCGGTGGTGAATCAGGCCTTTAGGGTTTGGGGACATTGTTGGTTACGACAATTTTCACAAGATAATCAGTGCGCGTTTTGGCTCACATATGCAATCCTACACAGTCATGGATAGAAAAGACATGCTCAATTATTGGTGGCACAAGCTTCCTGTTCTGATTCGCGTGGCCAAAATAGAAGCCGTAACGACGGACAACCCATCGCACAAAAGACGGATCAGTAAAGCGACTCGGACAAGGGGGAAATTGCATGCATCTCTCAGTGCTTGACATGTAAACATCATCATGCCATATTCGATGATTGCTGTGAAGGTGAGGTGCTGCCGGATTTCAATTTTATTTTCACAAATCATAGCATCGAGCCAGTATGGATGGAATGGCAAAGAAATACCCTTTTGTTTAAGACAATAGCAGTTGCTGGAACATCTCAGGGGTATCCCTATACCGTCAGCGCATCAATTTCAGCATGCAGCCTAACAGGTTCAAGCACTATTGCTAGCTTGATCACCATACGAGTAGCTGATCCCTCTGTACCTGCATTTATCACGCATTTTTCTCAACAAAGACATTTTGAAGGAAATATCATCTTCGATGTTGCTTAAATATTTCCAAATAATATCAATCACTCGATTTTCGCTGAATACGCCCGCGCCATCCCTTCTGTCCGCAGGGACCTCGGATTGCCCTCCGTCAACAGGACTTCTGGGCCCTCTGGGGAACGGCAGCTCGATGACAGCCCCCGGGACCCAGTCTAAATGCCAGCCTGAAGCAGTAATCAAGTTTATATGTGTGACGTCACTGGATCAATGGATGAAGACAAGCCGATATTGGATGCGAGTGAGCCGCAGCCAGTTCACAATGTGAATGCTGGTGCTAAGTAACCGCTGTGCAATATTTGTTCTCAACGAACCTGAGCTAATGCAAAAAATACACCTTCTATCTATGCGTGGTGGAAATGTAAATTACTGCTGACTGATGAAGCAAAGCTTGTGTCTTTTTAGCAACGGTGCGCTATGTTGACGTCCAGTAATGTTACACAAAGGGGGAAAGTTAAAGGGAATGTTTCACATTTGAAGATACTGAAGCAATCAGATATGATGAAACAAGCCCACTTATAACTACTGGTGTACTTTTTAATTGGAAAAGTTTGCTCTAGACAGCACATTTGTCTGCTTAGTAAATAAGTGCATCATGGTTTGATTACATCCTCGTACCTTGCGCAACGTGCACTGAGAGCCAATTGACGGTCGTTCTATCTGAAAATCGCGCTCACGAATATCAAGTATGAACGTCTCGACGACTTATTTTTATTGGACTTGATTGCCGCATGGCTTATGGAATTACAGGACCTGAATGAACGTTATTATGACGTCGTGAACGTCAAGTTGACTGTGAAATACTTGCCCCGACATACCTTCCCCATTTTCCCGGGCGTGCTCAGAAACTAGACGGGCGTAAGGTCGAAAGAAGGACAGGATTGTTAACAGCACTGAAAGGTCTTATAAAAATAGCAAAAGTTCATGAAACTGTGGGGCACTGCCTGGGGGGGGGGGGGGGTAGGGTGAATTGACTGCTGTACGTCATGCCGCGGGGGGCGGGGGGCACTGCCTTTAAGAGCGGGCGTTCTTTGTTTCATGGTAGGTGACAAGGTGATTACAATCTAGCTAGTAAACTTCACATGGGTAACCAGTGACCGAGCTGGTAAACTCCACGTGGGACACAGTAAACAAATGCAAAATCGGCGAGTCATGAATGCGTATTTTAAATTATCGTTATGTCAATGTCAATCATCAATGATTTATATTAATATTCAATAATACTTTACAGCTGTTTCTGAAAAAGCAAGCAGGACTAAAGTCGAACTTCTGTAGTGCATCCGGCTCATTGCCAGACCCCTGCTTTACCGCATTCATGCAATGCATAACATATAGCATGCCTGCACCTTCCTGGAATGTGCAGACTAGGTATTGGTGTCTGCATGTCCATGTCACTCATGATTGCGTTAAATATCAAAGGGTTGAGAAGATCAGGGATATGCACATGTTGGTTCGCATCATACCTGCTTAGTCTGTACACGGTTTTGCGGCAGCTTGCCACCTTATGCTAGGAATGAGCTTGCCACGACATTGCTGAGGACAGATAGTGGAGTAAGTAGCGTTCACAGGAATGTCGGAGCTGTCTATGAATGGGTACTAAACGGATCAAATGCATATGCAAAATATTGCATGTCTGAAATTATCGCAGCCCATCCTGTCAGTCATATCGTGACTGCAAAACAATTACACGCATGACTAAGGAAAGACGTTTAATGAAAGAAAAGGCTACGCCCTTATATTAAAAACTGAAAGATAAATCACAGCATACCCATGAAATGTAATGAATGGTTTGATAAAAGCAAATACGTCCGAAAGCGTGCGGTGATTAATGCACTAAATGAATATAAGAAGATAAGACGGCGTGCAAAATAAATAACTCCGAA